CTCTCTCTCTCTCTCTCTCTCTCTCTCTCTCAGCGAAGGCCATGGCAGCCACCCGCTCCGCACACCTGCCCGTCCTCACTGCGCCCCCATTCACTCCGCCAGTGCGTCCCGCAGAATTAGCGCATCCCCCGTCGACGACTCCATACACATCTGCCTCAACGGCCGCTCCATCCCAAGGTCCACCCTGCGACGCACACCGTCCGGCCCGACCTCCCACAGTAGATTGTCATCGAAGGGGATGCCCGCGTCGATGAGTATGTTGTGCAGAATGCAGACGGCGACGAATTGTTGCGGCAACGTCTCCATGTTCGTCTTGTGGGAGCGAAGGAACAACCTCCACATCCCCTTCAATCTGTCGAAAGCCCTCTCGACTGCTCCCCTCGCCGTCTTCTGCTTGTTGTCGAAGCGCAGCTCCGACGTGTGCTCTGCGAGATCGCCGTAGGGGACGACTCCCCATTCGGAGGGGGGATAACCGTTGTCGCCCAGCAGATACCCATTCGTCCGCACACCGAAAGGCAGCATGACAGGTGGTCCAGTGAAAAGCTCCCCTGCCTCCACGCGCGCCCATAAACTCGACAGGTGGACGGTCCTCACGTCGTGGCAACTTCCCGGATATCCGACAAACACATCCAGCACGCGCAAGCTCAGATCGACGACCACCTGCGCCTAGACGGAGAAACAGCGTTTTCTGTCGTAGTAGTCCTCCCCGGGGCAATTCGTTGGCTTGTCGATGAAGATGTGGGTGCAGTCGATGCACCCATGGCAGTTAGGGAAACCCTTGTCAGCGAAAGCGCGCAAGACGACCGCCTTCTGCAGTCCTGTTGGCCACGATATCTTGTCAGGGTAGGCAGTCAGCAACGTCGCAGTTACATCCCGCACAACCACCAACCCAGAAGATCTGCCAATGCCGAAGCTGCATGTCCCGCTCTCGTAAGTCTCCCCCGACGCCCATCTGTACAAAGCGTAGGCGACAATGTGGTCAGGCTGGAGAGGCTCCCTATAGAAAGTCACACGTCGTTGAAGGAAGGGAGACAAAGCTACCGCTATCTCTCGGAACACACGTGGCGACATGCGCAGCTTGTCCTTGAAGTAGTCCGCCGTCGCGTCGTCGCAATGCCGCAGATCCTCCCACGTCGCCCCTGTCCGTCGCTTCGTCCACCACCTGGGCGGCGCTCTCGGAAAGCCTCCACACCCCATGGCGTAGCAGACGTGGAGTATGGCGTCGCAAATGGCAGCACTGTTATCTTCCTCCACATTCAAGGACGGCAGCGTCTTCTTCCTCCGCGCACAAATGGCTGCTTTCATCCTCCCCTCGGTCCTCTGCACCTGACAGCGGATGAGGATGGCGTTGACGACAGCTACCACTGCCGTCCGCTCCGTCTTGCTGAGTGTGTCACGCCCCACCTCCCCGTTCATGTCCATCGCCGACAACTTCAACTGTGGACGGCTCGGGCGCGAAGTAAGGAAGACTCCACGTCTGCAGGGGCGCACAACAGCGATCCCGAGGACTGCCGACAGGAGTGCATGGCGTACACGTCGACGACGAAGGTGCGCCTGCGAAGACGACAACGGTGACGACCAATGGTGACGGCTGTCTGCTGCTTGGGACGCATACATGTACGTTTCGCGTGGCCGCCGTCACGCGTCCGTCAGCCGCAAGGGACACCCACGCCCCCCCTGTCGCTTGCGGGAATTCGAATTTCAAATTTTGAATCCGGGACCGCGCTTTTTTGTCGTTGCCAGTTTTTTTTTCCGCCGCCGACTTTCGAATTTGCGACGCCCACCCGAGCTGGACCAAGGACGACGGCACGGACACAACTTGATGGACCAACCGCCCCCCCCCCCCAGCGTCCGCGTATCGAAATATGAAACTGGCCGCGGGAGCACCCGAGGAATCGTCCTCGGGGAGCTTTTCCGAGGATGAGTGGAACGGAGGCACGATTTTCCTCGGGCGACGATGGGAAAATTTCCTCGGGGCCCGAGGACAGCCCGAGGAGTGTCGAACAAGCCCCCAAGTATCATCACATTTCTGTTTCAAAAATGCATTAATACTGAACTTACCCCTACCATAAAGGGAAAATTTTGTGGGAGTCACAGAAATGAGTTATAACTGCAGTTCGGGCAATGTCTACAACCCATCTTTCTAGCCAGGTGTAGGGTGCCCAAAGTGCAATTGCAAACTGTATCTTGCCCCATTGTGCAATTTTAATTTATGCCTCATCATTTTTGTGAATCTACTGAAGTTACCCTTGAAGTTACCCTTATCAAATGTATGCCATTATCGCCCTACAAAATTAAACATTAAATGTCAAAACTTTTACAAGCGGTTTTGTGACAATAATTGTAGCCTTCAGGCTTCAGGCGGTGGCAGTGGTCTGAATTTTAAATTTTCACCCATCACAGACAGATTTCCTCCATGGGGGACCAATCCATGGGGGACCAAGCGTTTTTTTTTTTTTTTTTTTTTTAATGGGAACAAAGCTCCAATCTATTCGTGGGGAGCAACACGTGCTGGGAACCGGGCCCAGCGTCCCATATAGAAAATTACATAATCCTCTTACAAAGTAATGATGGCGAAACAACTGACAGTGTTTTTTTTTTTTCTTTTCTTCTTTTTTTCTTTTCTTTTGGGAACAACTGACAGCGTTAGCAAAATGCCCGGGGGGGAATAACAATTTGCAGCAAATTTTCTGGACGTCGAAAAAGGTTACGACAGGGTGCAGCAGGGTGGGTACTAGTAGGTAATAGGGCATTTCTCCGAGCCACCATGTACGCAATGCCATTTGGTTTTGGGCCCAAATGTAACAATGGGGTCACTGCTTTGTATAAAAATGCATCATGATCGGCCTTCGTAGGTGTAGGTGGTAAGCCGCCGGTACCCCGGCCAGCTTTGAAAAAAAGAAAATTTGGACTCGCCCTCGCATGGCCGGGCCGCCCGGTCAAACAAGGTGTGACCCGGGCGGCTCAGTTGGTAGCCCAGGCCCCAGGTTAAGATTCACATTCTTCGGAATTCGAGTGCAAGAGCATAGTGATCTACAGATCGCAAGACTCACAATGTCATGCAATTTGCACACTTTGAGATGAAGGCAGGCAAAATAGTCACAAACAGACACATCAGTTCGTAATTAAAAGAGTTATCAACTTATCACGTCTCCTGTTTCTATTTCAGAACCTTCTCCCTGCATCTTGAAGTTACACACTTAACTTTTACCGATGGCATATCCATGTGTGCCATAGGACACTTGAACAATTTGAAAGTTCAAAGTCCCAAACCCTCATAACCAGAAACCGAGGCCATCTATCACGGCTAACACTGCTGGCGGGGGGTTTGTTGAAAAAAAAAAAAAAAAAAAAAAAAAAAAAAAAAAAACAACGGCAGCCGCGGCATGTTTTAAGTTCGAATAGGCAAAAAAAACACGAGAGTGGCAGTGGACGAAAGAGAAGAGTTCGAAAAGGCAAGAAACACTAGGACCAGCGGTAATGTCAGACCCCCAGTTGGAAAAAGCGCTAATGGCAGGCCAGACGTGTCCCAAGCTGTCCCAAGCTGTCCCGGTATCAACTACCCTAGGTTCCAGGCCTCCATAGGCTGTCCCAGTATCAACTACGGTAGGTCCCAGGCCGTCCACCTCAAAGGGTGCGCGGGTGGGGGATGCTGCGCCGCCGTGTTTGCCCGCCAGCCCGGCGACCGCTGCACGTCTGCGCGGCGGTGCGGCATTGTCCGTGTGTCGGGCGGGAGAGGGGGGGAGGAGGA